CCTCAAGTGGATGGTAGCACATCCCTCTTTTGATGGAGAAAAGGAACAGAATTGCCTAGCCAATTAGCCTAATCTGGATTCTGTCTAATTTTTCAGTTTTGCATAACCACAGTATTAACCAACAGTTCACTGCTGCTAAACCCCCGTGCTACACCGAAGAAAAGAACTCGTTTGTATATTACAGTGCAATCGCCGTATCTACTAATTTCCTTCAATACACTACAGGCCTCTTTTGAAAGGAGATTGCTGGTATTATCCCTATTTTATAAATGAGGAGACTTACAGTACAGCAAAATGAATTCTCAGGAACTGAGAGTTACTGATAAAGTGGAGCCTGATATCAGTGTAACTGATAAAATAAAGAATAAAACAATTATCTTAAATTCTCAGCACAGTTCACTCGCTGCAAGCTTCAGTGCTCGCTTTCATCTGGGATTATGAGTGAAGTCTGCAGCAAACCTTTTCCCCCTGTATTTCTAGGTAATTTATTTTCTAATTTTCTTAATATCACCACACGCTGAAGTGAATAATTAGAAAATTGCTTGATTTCTATATGTTGTGTCCACAAGGACATAACAAGGATGTTTTAGTGGTGATGGTGGTACAAAATAAGGTTGATTTCAAAGAAGAGTTCTAACACTATCTTTCCCTTTTTTTAAAAGGGTCTCATTTGGGCATTTTCACAAAATGAGACATAAATCTTCATGGATTGAACAGAATGTATTGTTTGAAAAAGCCCTGTAAACTTTCATCTCAACTTCATAGCTCCTCATAGCTCTTCTTCATAGCTCTTCATCACACTCTCCTGGGAGCATCTGTCTGTTGCTGTTCTATTTCAGATGGTTATGCTATGCCCATCCTGGCCATAGGTCTCCTTCTCTTCCAATAAGTGATGCTATTTACCAAAGGGTGAGAGAAGAGAACTCTTTTTGTCAATTAAGAAGGTCAGTTGTAAGATTTCTATGCTCATTTCATTCCTTAGAGGCAAGGTTTTCCAGAGAGGTCAGAACTGTGTTCTTATATGAATAGTTTTTCCTTGGGGTATTTTGACCTTCAGATAGGATTCAAGAACTAGATTAAGAATCAGATTAAAAAATCCTGGCACCAGTTTGGAGATTTGCCTGCTCCTCCTACTCCAAGGAGAATAAATCAGAGGAGAAAGACAGAAATTACTGTGTCTGGACAGTGATATTTCCATAAGATTTTCAAATTTTGCATTTACATTTTCACTGTTGACATATTTCTGTATTTGTTTTCCCAGCCCCCAGATTCCTTAAACTGTATACAGTAAAACCTTTCATAACCTATATGCAAGTCTTTTGCTAGTTGATCTTCTCTTGCAGTTAGTCAACTGTTTGTTTGGTTTGGTTTTTTTTCCCTAAAAAAAGTCTAGTACCAGATTTAGATCTCTATTCCTCTTTTGTGATAAGAAGCATCTAGGCAAGATCACACTGCCCTGAAGAGCAAGTGGACAGTATCAGGCTTGTTGCTTCAAGATACTGCAACTTTTAAGTATGTTTACTATCTGTGAACATCAGAATCTTCAGAGTTCCTAAAGCTAACAACTTTCAAAAGCTCTTTTTGATCTCCCATGAACCACACCCTTGCTATCTGAAAACAGCTTTCTGTGTTTAGATGGACTGAACAAAGCCCTGCAAGATCTCTGCCTAGATCCAGTCTTAATGGCCCCTTTTAGTTTTATGGCAGCTCCTAGCTACTGAGTCCCAGTGGCAGGGTAGGGTGGTGCATGATTAATGGCACTACATGTACTAAACAGCCATGAAGAGACACACCCTGTTAGGCTACAAAGCAAAGATTGAAGTGGCACCTTGCAAACACCTGTGTTGGGGACAATCAAAGAAAGAGTCATCAATCTCCCAGAACGAAAAAGAGTCTGCATTGATTTTAGGTGTGGGGAATGTTAAGAGATGTCATCCATCACAGCTCACTGGCAGTATGTTTGAGGAGGGTAGATGAAAGCACAGAGGAATGCCAAAATACTCTAAAAAATTTGGCAAGTTCATGAAAACAATATTGTCTTCTCTGTAAGATAGAAATCTAAGTCTAAAAGTAATTACTTAACTCCTAGTACTCTTGAAATTGTTGCTTATTCCTATGTTCAGCTGTTCTTTAACAGCTACATTAACTTAAATATTTTACAAGAACATTTAAAATTTGCTTATGGAAACATCCAAAATTCTTCATTTTGAATGTATATGGAGAGTTGATTGCTTTTTCTTTAATCGAGATTGCAACTGTGATTTTTATAAAGCTATTATTAGTCCAAATATTACCACAGCTGTAGCTGCCAGCATTGATTGAATTTAGAAATGACTCAGTTTCTTTTAAAGGCTAAGACAAACTTTTATAGAAGTTTCAACACAGTTAACCTAGCCAAGCTTTAAAACTAGTTATGGCCTCACTGCTGTACATTTAAAAATGGATCGGCTTTACATTTTTTGCCACTATCACTACCTGCCAGTCCTTGAAATATTTCAGGCAGCTACATTTCCTCGGAAGCTGGTGTGTAATTGTGTTTGAAAAAAAGCAAGTTGTAAATGATTTAGGCTGTCAGTGTTCACTCTATATGAATCGGGCATTAGTGGGTGAGGCTGAAAGACTGTATTTCTATTTTTGTATGTTTGGTTTTTAAACAGGAGAAATACATACTCACCTGTGGCCAGACTGAAGGGTTGAGTAAGGGATGTGAATGCATAAATGCAAAGATGATCGTACATGTGCAAAGTTATATAGTATGTAACCTCAGTTGTTTGCTGTTTGCTTGGAGAGAATGGTCTCTCGTCTCTCCACATTTAATCATTGCAAAGCAAAAGGAACCACTCTAACAGATAGTGTTATAGTTCTCTTTTTCCAAGAGTTATGACCCAAGTCCAAGACCAAGATTATAGGGCTGACTACTCTTTCTGCTAACAGTGCTACTTGTTTGTAATGAGGTTTCGCAATGAAATAATTTCTGAACAACTTAACACACTGCAGATTTTTTTAAGCATGTAGCTGAGATTGATGGAGTATAGCACTACAGAAGGACATAGGAAGCAATTAGTGAAACTGTTCAAGAGTTTAAAATCAGATGTTTGAAGAACAATAGTATTCTGTTATTCCATATATCATCCTTGGTGTGTGCACATGCAACTCTTTGAACAATACAAGAGAGTGCAGTCTGCTGTGGGCAGTGGTGTTTTGTTCACAGAGCCACAGGGAGGAAAGAACAATTAGAAATAACTTTAGATCACATATTTCAGCTTTCGGAAAACATTTTAGCAGCAGTATCTGGAGTTTTTCATGAGGGCTGCTTTATGACCTCTGGACTCATTCTGAATAACTCATATCTGTGTCAAACAGCTCCATTAGGATGATAAATGTGTCTAGAATCTCAAAATACAACATTGAGTAAACCTGCCAGATGATGTTTCTCAATGTTATTTCTCAAGTGTCTCTCACAAATATTTCTTTTCCTTACAGTTTTTTTTTTTTGTGTGTGTTTTTTTTAAAAAGGAGCCACATCCTCGCCTGTGGCCAGACTGAAGGGTTGTGTAAGTGGCGTGAATGCATAAATGCAAAGATGATCAGAGGCTCATCTTTGCAGTGCCTTGACGTTGCTGCTTCTCAGTGCAGATCTGTTCCCTCCCACTGTACAGAAGGTCCTCTGCAGAGCTGCAGTTTGTGCTAGCTGTGGTGATGATTTGAGGCTAAGGAAGCCTGGCACTCCGACAAGGAATATGCCTTGTTCCTCTGCGTGGGCCTTACCGTCCCAAATAGAGTCACATCAGCTCACTATGTGTTGTAAGTGCCTGTAGGGCTCCCTCATTGCCGGTGCAAAAGACCTGCAGATCTATGTCATAATGGGCTGGTTTTAATTTCAGCTTTTTTCTCTCACCCAAGCCTGTAATGTAATGTAACAGTAATGAGAAACATGCATGGGGTATCTCTTTGGTTTTATTCTTGGCTAACCACCAGGCACCAAATCTTGGATTCTCCACTGTGTTCCACTAAAGTGTTGCAAATTTCATCAGTTTGAAGTGGAGGTAAACCATATTCATTCCCATCTGCTAATTTTGAATGCTAGTGATGCTCTAATACTGCATGAGTTCAAATGACTGCTTAAGTTTTGTGGCAACAAAGAATAATGTCCATAAATGTCCCAACTTGGAGCACAGCTTAGACCTAGCTATTTGGTTTTTGGAAGCAGGCCTAGCTATTTGGTTTTTGGAAATGGATTCCTACTTGAATAGAGTTTTTTATTTTAAAGAAACCTTCTTCTTTCCATCTCTGTCTCTTCCTGCCTCTCCTCACACTTCCACAGCCCATATTGCCAATGCCAGTATTTCTTTTTCACTCACAGAGGGGAAGGTGGTTGCTGGGAGAAATTTCTGGCAAAGATGATGATAGCTGCATTTTTAGGAGATATTTTCCACAGTGGGGAGTAGGAGGATCAGGAAAGTAGGTGGGAGAGTGGAGAAAGAGAGAGAAGTGGTTGCCTGCCTTGCCTTCTCAGTCAATGAGAAAATTAAATGTCTTCACAAGGTAAGTAACCCGCTGATGTTAGACAGTAAATGTTCAGGCACCCATGAAGCAATGTGACAACTGCCAGGTTGAAACTCATCAAGTACAAGGGTCATTTACACACTCAGAAAGAACTGCTCTTTGTAAGCACATATTTTATCTCTTCAGGTTTGAATATATTTCAGAATAGGACAGATGCAAGTGAGGAGAGAGAAAAAAAAAACAAAACAGACTGTTTTCTTACTCCCTTTATTGCACATTTGAGAGCTGACCCTCAAAACTTGCGTGTTACTGAGTGCTGGGATGTTGAACCCACAGGAGCTGGGAAGCTTGAATGCTTGTTTGAATTTTATGACTGACTTCTCTTTGCCAGTACCCAGAACAGTAAACACAACATCATTCTTATATCTGTTCTCTCTTTCACCTTTGTGTCAAGAGTAACCAATTCTTTTTTCTTTCTTTTTTTTTTTTTAAGGATGATACCAGCTACAAACAAGGCCTTTGTTGTAACCAACCTTGTTTCTGGAACAGGCTATGACCTCTGTGTCCTGGCAATGTGGGATGACACAGCCACAACCCTTACTGCCACCAATATTGTGGGATGCGCCCAATTCTTCACCAAAGAAGACTACCCTCAGTGCCAGTCAATGCACAGTCAGTTCCTGGGTGGGACCATGATTCTGATCATTGGAGGCATCATTGTGGCAACTCTGTTGGTGTTCATTGTAATACTCATGGTCCGCTATAAGGTCTGCAACAATTCTCAAGGGAAGATGTCTAATGTCAGCAATGTCTACTCACAGACAAATGGAGCACAACCAGTTCAGAATGGAGTCCTGCCCCAAGTCAATCCCAAAGTGGTGGTGAGGAATGAACTGATGGAGTTTAACTGTCAGTCTGCACGGAGTAGCATCTCCTCTTCCTCCAGCTCTGCAAATAGTCGTGACTGCGACAATTATAGCCTCCAAAGTGAACAGGGCACATTGTCCAGTAAATGGAGGCCTCCTTCCAGGTCAAAACACAATATTGACCGGCTAATGGGAGCTTTTGCCTCCCTGGAACTGAAATGTCAGAAAAAGGAGGAAATGACAGACTCCAGAACTTCCACGGTGGCCCGCCACTCGGACAAAGAGCCACTGCTGGGCCAGACGGAGTCAAAATTACGCAGCTTCCTCATGTTGCCTCTAGAGGGCAAAACCAAACGTAGCCATTCTTTTGACATGGGGGACTTTGCTACATCTCAGTGTTGTACCTACCCAAAAAAGATAACAAACATTTGGACAAAGAGGAGCCTCTCAGTCAACGGCATGCTTTTGCAGTATGATGACAATGACCTAACAGGGGCAAAAGGGACTTTCGGGAGCTCAGAGTGGGTAATGGAAAGCACGGTGTAAATATCAGTGTCTCCCCCCTCCTCTTCTCCCTTCATAGGTTATAAAGCATGGTTTGCTTCAGGGCCATGCAATTGGAAAGAGAGGGGAGGAAATGTTTTCAATTGTACTGGCCAAAAAGATAGACAAGCAAGTAAGTAACAGGGATACTAAAAGAGCAAGAAGGTCATGAAATGTGAATAGGCACGTATGGCACCATTCCTGTCTGGCCCCAACTAAACCATGCGTGAATGTTTCAAGGAATTTGCTAGTTGTATTTAGCATTACTTTCCAAAAGTTACTTAGACTGTTGGTGAACCATCACACAAGATTAAACAAGGAGGATGAAAAGGGGTTTAACAGGAGAAATTTAATTTTTCAGGGTTTCTTTTTTTTTTCTTTTTTTTTTTTTTAAAGGGCACCTCTTTCTTTTCTTTCAAACACAGAAATACACTTCTGTGGATATGACTGGTGCTAGGATATATCTGGTTGTTATTGCAAATGATTTTCTCAAAAGTGCAGGCATGGCACCCACAGGGACAGATAAGAGCAAATTGTTCAGCATAATCTCATGGTGTTAACTGTGACATCTGGGCAAACAATATTTGTTGTTGAGTCGGCTTTTGGTTGGGATTTATTTACTTCTGTTCTGTTTTGATTTTTTATGGTTTGAGTTGCTTTTTCCCCACAACAGAAAATATGTTTCCATACATTTTTTGGTTTTGTTTTTAGTCTCATCAAATCCCCCAGATTAAAAGGAGGTATGTACAAAGGTCAAATTTCTGATGTACTGTATAATCCACCCCCAATACCATCCCTTTCTGTCCTAGAAAAAATTAAATCTAGGGACAAATAAATTATAAAAAAAGAAATCATCCTCTTCCTTCTATCTTCATAGTCTCTGCTTATCAATGCTCAAGGCAGAGTGCAGCAGCTATTGGTATCTGTAAGGGTGTTGCTATCAAAGATGGGAAAAATAGTTATCAAGATTTCCTATTAAAGGATAAAGCAAGGGAAAACAAAAGTAGCTCTACATTATGAATATTAATGGTTTCTAGTGAAGGTCACACTGCCACTCTAACTGCCAAAGAAAACACTGACCCTATTGTGACAAAAGCTCCTTGTCCGTACAATCACCGTGACACAGCTTGACTGTACCAGTAGCGCCACAAGAAAATTAAGTTTTTGTGTATTTCAGGGGATTGGGTATGTTCCAAGTTAGCCACAGCAACTGAGTTCAATTTGGGTATCTCAGAGCAGAGGGTCTCCCATGTGCCCCCTGCACTACATACAGCCCTTCCCCAGCCCCTGGTGTACCCTGCTTCCCTGTCTCATCCTCAGGAAGATACTTGCTAACTAATAACAGGAGCTGTTTAGGACTTGTAAACTGATTCTCAGATCAGTTTTTGGTAAGTGTTGCTGTGGCTGTAGAAATACACATGGCCAATCCAGCTGAACTGATTGTCCTTAACAATTTTACTGTGATTTCTAGCATTCTGGTGGCTACTGCAACTGTCCTATCATTTGTTTATTAATTCGTTAGCTCTCAATGATCAGCTGTCGGGAACCATTCTGAAATTGCACATTGTTACTATTATTTACATTGATTTTGTAAGAGATGTGAAGAAAGGGTGCAAGGTACAGAGAAAATAACACATGAAAAAAACTTTATGTATATTTTTTTTTAAAGGTTCAGAGATATATTGTGACATGGCTGTGTACTTGATCTTGTATTCGTCATGTTTCCTACTTGGAGTTTTAAATAATGACATCCCTGTGATCAGAATATTTTTTCCTTTAGTTTCTTTTTTTTTTTTTTGCTACAAAATGTACAGTAAAAAACATACCTGGGGAAAAAAGTACCTGCTTTTTATTTATTTGTTGTTCTGTGGTCTGCTTTGAAACCTAAGTAAGGAGAAGTAATTGTTTTTTAAATTATCTTGAAAATTTAGGTGTTTGCTTTCTCTGTTTCACGAACTGTCTTTGACTTCAGGACTTTAAGTATAAAATAGGAATCAAGAAATTTATACCTTTTCGGAATGCATGAGAAAAGATCTCGTAAGGAGCATTTCACCTCTTTTTCTGTTGTTACATTTATACAGATCTATATTACTGATGTATTTTAAACCCTGTTCCAAAATCTGCAGAGATAAGAGGTAGCCTTTTTTGACTTAGGTCCTGGCTTTCTGCAGGTTTTTGCTCAGATTATTGCTCATACATACATTAATAGATTCAAAAGATATCCAGTCAGACTTTGTTTGAAACATTTTTCAAACTGTCTGGTTTTCTCATGTTTTCCATGATGAATGACACCTCTAGTGCCAGAATCTACATAATCCAACTGTCCAGATGGCACCTTCATATTAACCATTAATAACATATACCTTCATATTAACCATTAATACATATATAATAACCATTAATAACATATACGTTTATGTTGCACTAAAAACTCTTACAGACGTTCATGTTATTAGTTATTTTCTTTTCCTTGTTCTACTGCGGTGTGGTTGGCCCTTTAATTATGTTGCTGCTTCACTCTGAACATGACATCTAGGTTGTTTTTAATTTAGCCATTAAGTTCATCTTCAATTTACTAGCATATGAAACTGTGAATTTTCAAAGTATATCCTATACTGCTTTCTTTCTCAGAGAGGAATACTTCTTTTTCACTTTCTCATACAAGATTAAAGGAAGTAAGCCAACAGATGCAGTTTTAAAATAAGGGATAGTTGCCAAAAAAACAAGGTAATAAATTCCACATTCTAATAGCTGCATTTATTACTGTTAATCACAATTATAATTCACTTGTCTTTCATGAATGAGGCTCAAATCACATTTAGCTGATTTGCAAATACGGAGTAAAATGAAACAGACACCCAGCAATTACCTTTGCTGCTCACACCATTTGGGAACAACAGGACTCAGGGATCTATAGGTGAAGGAGGGAGCCCCAGACAAGTCAGCAAGTGGCCAGCCCTGTCTGATTATTCTTCTGTAGTGCTGGTGCATGGTAGGGATTCTTTCTTGTTTCACTTCTAAGCGAACTGCGCATCAGTGGCTAGTGAAATGATATATAGATACCCACTTATCTGGATGTAATAAATATTTTCACACATCATTGAGAAGCTGAGCTGGCTCCAATGGCCTAGTCCTCTTATCTCAGAAACCTACACCGAGAAATTTATACAGTGTCTCACAGGTTAATATGTGGTAGTGTGATGTGCGGCTGCACCAACTGTGCTTTAAGGGCAAGCGTCAGGTAGAGCAGATAGTAAGGAAAACAACAGAGATCAACAAGAGGCTTCTGAAAAGAGAAGTGTGGGAAATTAAAGGTATTAGAGAATTTAAAGTAAAGCCCATGGGAGCAATTAAAGACATTTGCATATGCATATGTAAGTTAGTTTTTTGACCTGTTTCCTAATTGTGAAACTAGCTTTTTTCTTAAAAATATATGCCACTGACTTGAAAGAACACGATATTATACCACTGTGAAATTCTGCACACAGTTCTGATAAAAAACCCAATCCAAATTCCCAAAATATCATCCCAGAGAATATTAAACAAGATGATGAAATGGAAATTTCTGAAAGTAGTGATTATAGGGATTTCATTTGATGTCTACTAGGAACCAAATGGTTTATGAAATGAAAATAAAGGGGGGAGGGTGTATTTATGAGTAGGAAAGCAGCCCATACTATTTCCTTACATTTATATCCTAAAAGTTCTCATGAATAGAAATTATGTCCTGTGCAGGGCTAAGGGTTGGACTCTATAATCCTTATGGTTCCCCTCCAACTCAGCATATTCTGTGATTTCAGGTTTCAAATGTCCTCTCTGAGTTTGGCAGCTCTAGAGAATAGCAAACTTTCGTAGAGGAAGATTACCCCTTCTATATGTCTTCAAACTACACCCTGTACTTGGTTACAATTTGGATTAATACACTTGTAAAGCAATGCATAACAAAGGAGAGAGAGGTACCTGTGCCCTGCATGATGCAAGATGAAAAAGGTGATATATTTTCCTTTGCTAAACCTGTTTACATCCGAGAACACGGAGTTGATCTGCTCTAGAAACAGAAGAAAATAATATTCCAGAAGACTCTGCTTGTTTCATTCCTCACTCTTCACTCAGCAAAGCGTTGCAAAGACAGATAACCAAAAAGAGGCCTTGGAGATTTCTGAGTGAGAACAATAAATGCAGCAACAATTTAAGCACTTTCTAACCTGGAGGGCAACGAATAATTCCACCTGATAACCAAGAAAATATTTTAGTCTTTGAACAGCTTGAATGTCACATCTGTTTGCAATACTTTGCACCCATTAACCCCTGGGTAACCCACAGTACACCATATGGTGCACGCAGCACATCTTTCTACCTCTTGCAACCTATTTCTCTGGAACCTTTTCCAAGTAACTCTCTGTGTTCAGTGTTTGTAATTTAATACTTGGGCAATTCTGGATGTGTAATAATATTCTGCGCGTGGAATTATCAAGGGACATTATTAACATCTTGCATGTTTCACCTTTAAATTTCCCTAAACATAATGAATGGATCCCTCCGAAAACATTAGATTTGGGTTTAGGCTGTAGGCCAGATAAAAACCAAATCAAAGAGTACCTGGAAAACCTTGCTTTCTATATAGAAATTTTATGTTCTACAGTATGTTTTCCTTGCTCTAATTAATTACTCCTTAATTCCCAAAGGTGCAGCATTCCTTAGCAGCTGTCAAAAGGCCCTACTATACAAAACAGTGCCAGATGCTTATTCCCGATATTACACTCTCAACAGATGGCAAATGTCAGAGATATAAATATATACCCAGATACAGATATATCAGCAAATGCATGCATTTTTATTCATGCATATATGTTCACATGCACACATGTACATATTGTGCTCTTTATCTGTATGTTTTATGGTGTACAGATTTCCTAGTTTGGTAATAAAGGAACATTCACATTTTTTATGAAGTACTGATGGAAGAAAGGGAGGGAGAATAGAAACTTCCTCTTTATAAGAAGCAGGTTAGTTGATAATCTTCATCTCATCCCAGGTGGGAGAGATCAGTGCTTCAAATGAACTTAATTGGAGGTGAAAGAATTCATTCATTTCCTATGACCACAGGGAAGGCTCAACTCCTACGTTAGGGCATTTATCCAGCTGATGCTCCCATCACATGCTGTAGATAAGTCTCCTGTCAATGAGGACTCATGTTTTGCAGGGATACAAGCAGCCGTAGGGAGCTGTTCTGCATTCACTGCCCCTGTTTGTGATCTTAAATGTGCTGACAATGTTGTGCATTAATTGGTTAGTTAGATTGTTATATTCAGTCATATGTGGAGCCCGGACACAAGGCTAGAGACACTGGTGGGAAAGAGAAACATTGAAAATCAATGACCTGTATTAGGAGAAAATAAATCCTTACTTTAAAAATCCATAGATCTTAGTTTGTAAATAGGAGAGGAAAATGCTCCATTAGTTACTTGTACAGTTACAGAGGTGGGCATCAACTTATGGTTAATGTTTGCTCATAATACTTCTCATGCAATGAGAAATTGAATCAATATCTTTCATGACACTTTTCAGATTTCTTGTGTGTGACTACTCTATTTTAAAAGTATTAATACTCCTCTTCTCTGCAGTGAACAATGGAGGAATATTTTAATACCGCCTGTACCGTTTCTTATTCGAAGATGGGTGTCCCAACAGGAAAAAGAAACTGCTGTTCCAGGGAAGTTGTTCCTCTTGGACAATGTTACTGATGCACCAACATGAAATGTAGGATCCGAGAAGGCAAAGGCAAGGCTTTATACCCTGAGACTTACTAAGACTACAACAAAAATCTAAAGAGTGGATGTGTTAATCTTCCTTCCTTTGAACATGACTCAGAGATGTGAAACTTAAAGTAATTAGGCTCATAGTTCTGATGTGCCATATACAGAAAAATGGCTCTTGTTGGACAGATGTGATCCAAGTGTTGCTGCAGCAGAGAGTTGCATGCTGGTCATCAGTGGAACTGGTGTCATGCACAAAAGCTGGCGAAGCAGGATTCCCAGGAGAGGATCACCACACAGGTCACGGCACAGATGGGAGCCGTGATTCCTTGGTGTTATAGGAACAGGTTAGAACTGGCTAGTCCAGTAAACTGTGCTTATCCTAGTATCCTGTGACAGTGTTCAATATTAGTTATTTCAGAGAAAGCACCTTTAGGAAAACTTCAGAGAGCTCTGTCCCAAAGCCTGGTGGGCTGGAAGTCCTTATTCCATTCTCCATAAGGAAGCAAAGAATTTCTTCCAAAATTCACCCCCCGACAATTAAAACAGAACATAGATCTAAAACTGTGACAAAAATGAAAAAACAAGCTCTGAATGACTCCTCTTGTTTTAGAGTTCCTGCCTCTGAGTCTGTCAAGTCTGACTTTAAGAAAAAACAGTCCTTGCCATCTGAGACTGGGTTGCCTGAGGCACTTGGAAATGGACAGATGAGTATTTGCAGAGATGATGAGAGCATTTCTCATTTGCAAAAAGACCAGAGTGCGCCTCCTGTGTGCCTCACTGTAGCTAAACACAGACCAAAGTGCACAGCAACAGCAACCACATTAAAACCCATAACTACTTTATCAAACATGAAACTTTGTGCCATAATGCAACAAACAAACAAAGAAACAAACAAACAAAAAGCCCACTACCTCAAATAGTGACTTTCTCGCATGGTTTTGAGAAAAAGGTAAGATATTTGTTCATGCTTTCAGATATACCTCTGGATATGATAAAATACAAAATTTGCATACTATGTGCAATGATAT